TGAGTGATAATGCACCTGGTCACTCAGAGCTCTGTTGGAGATGTACAAGGAAGTGAATGTTGTTTTCATACCTGCTAATTACAAGATCCACTCTGCATCATGTTGGTCAAGGAGCAATTTCAACTTTCAAGTCTTACTATTGAAGAAGTACATTTTGTAAGACTACAGGTGCCACAGATAATGTTTCCTCTGTTTAGGCCAGTGGTTCTCAACCTTCCTAATGCTGTGATGTATTTTCATTGTTAAAAGAGGTCGCAACCCACAGGCTGAGAACCAATGTATAGGCAAATGGAAACCTTCTGGAAAGGATTTACCATTTTAGATGCAAATAAGAACATTTGTGATTCATGAGAAGTCAAAAAGTAAACATTAATAGGCGTTTAAAGAAACCGATTCAACCCTCACAGATGACTTTAAGGGGTTCAAGACTTAAGTGGAGGAAGTAACTACACATGTGGTAGAAATAGCAAGAGACCAAGAATTAGAAGTACAGCCTGAAGATGTGACTGTATTGCTGTAGTACATTGCCTTTAGCTCTGATGCTAAAAATAAATGCTCAAATCTTAGAAAGTTACAGAAAACTGTCCAAGATGACAAATTCTAATTAGTTAAATGTTGTATCTACTAGTATTCCGCTTCTTTATTCACACAAATACATTCCTTATTCCTCATGACCAAACGTAGGTAGGTGATTGTGTCTTCTTTTTTTTTTTTTGTTTTTTGAGACAGAGTCTCAAGCTGTTGCCCTAGGTAGAGTGCTGTGGTGTCACAGCTCACAGCAACCTCAAACTCTTGGGCTTAAGCAATTCTCTTGCCTCAACCTCCCAAGTAGCTAGGACTTCAGGCTACTACTAGCCACCACAATGCCTGGCTATTTTTGTTGTTGCAGTTGTCATTGTTGTTTAGCCTGCCCGGGCTGGGTTTGAACCTGCCAGCCTGGGTGTATGTGGCTGGCACCCTACCCACTGAGCTACGGGCGCCGCCAGGATTGCTTCATATGTATGAGCAAAGAAAAGTGGTTTCTCAAGGTGGAATCTACTTGTGAAGATGCTGTGAACATTGGTGAAATGACATCAAAGACTTTCAGATGGTCCATATACTTAGTTGATAAAGTACTAACAGGGTTTGAGCAAATATAACTCTAATTTTGAAAGAAGTTCCACTGCAAGTGAAATGCTATCAAACAGCATTGCATGCTTCAGAGAAATATTTCATAAAAGGAAGAGTTCATCTTTTCGGCATACTTTACTGTTGCCTTATTTTAAGAAATTTTCATAGCCAACCCAACCTGTGGTAGCCACCACCCTGATCAGTCAGTAGCCATCAATGTTGAGGTCAGACTCTGCACCAACAAAAACATTACAACTTGCTCAGAAGATCTTTAGCATTTTCTGGTATTAAAGTATTTTTAATTAAAGTATATTTTTTAGGCATGCTATTGTACACTAAATGGACTACAGTATATTGTAAATATAACTATTAAAGCATTGGGAAACAAAAGTGTGCATGATTCACTTTATTGCAGTGGTCTGGAACTAAACCTGCAATATCGTCAAGGTATGCTGGTGGAATGATAAAATCTAGCTAATTAATATACATGTTATCTCACGTACTTATCATTTTTGTTGTGAGAACACTTAACATCCACTCTCTTAAGAATACGATACATTTTTCATAACTATAGTTACCATCTCTGTACAACAGATCTCTTGAACTTATTCCTCCTATCTACTTGAAATGTTCTATCCTTTCATCAGCATCACCCCAGACCCCCCAGCCTTGTTAACCACTATTCTACTTTCTAGCTCTTTGAGGTCAACTAGTTTAGATTTCTTGTATGAGTGAGATCATGTGGTGTTTGTCCTTTGGTGACAGGCTTATTTATAACATCTTCTTGGTTTATCCATGTTGTCACAAATGGCAGGATTTCTTTATTTTTTACGGCTGAATAGTATTTCACGTGTGTGTGTGTGTGTGTATTTTCTTCATCTATTCATCTGTGGATGAATACAGTCTGAGTCTGTATCTTGACTATTGTCACTAATTATGCAGTAAATATAAGATTGCAGATATCTCTTTGATGTACCACTTTTATTTCCTTTGCAAATATACCCTGTAGTGGGATCTCTAGGTAGGTTTGTTTTTTTTTTTTTTTGAGGAACCTCTATTACAGTTTTCTATAATGTCTACACTAACTAAACATTTTTGAGGAATTTCATTTATGTGGGTGTTTTTTTTTTTAAAGAACTGTTCTCCTTGTCCCAATTGGACATGATCATAACCATATGCACAGTTTAACACTTAGTACTATGCCTTTTGACTCAGTACTATGAAACCAAATTTCATGTATTGCATAGTCTTGAAATTATCATTTTTAATGATGCTAACCATTTCATCAAGTAAGTTGGTATGCCATAATTTTATAGCATATTTTATATGCTCAAATCTTAGAAAGTTATAGAAAACTGTCCAAGATGACAAATTCTAGTCAGTTAAGTGCTGTACCTACTTCTTTATTTAAACAAAATACATTCCTTATTAATTGAGCTTAAATTCTTAGCCTTACCTAGATCTACCATCAGAAGGCGAGTGAGGGCTGTGTAGAAGGTTGTTCGGCACCTGAAGTCACTGAGACTGTAACTGTCACTGATGCCAAGAAAGGGGAAGTGTTCACTCTAATGAAAGCAAGAGAGCAACCAAAGTTACTAATGCTTTACCCAAACTATCTGGAACATTCTAGTTAAGTTAAGGAAATAAGACTTACCGTGTGGTTTTTTAGCATGAATTTCACAGCATCTATCTTCACAAGTTTTTTTAAAAGGATATAAGTAATAAAAGTTAAGGAATCTGGGGAAATACATTTATTTATCTTATCAATATGTAATAAAAAACAAGATTGAACTACAGATGCATCAAATTCTACTTATAAGGAATAAGTATTATTTCTAAAGAGTATTTCTATAGAAATTTCATTCTTTTAAGAATGATAATCCATTATTAACCAGCGCAATTACTTTTTCTATCTTATACATATTCTAGTTACGGAAAGGAAGAATGAATTTTATAATTAAGACAAGAATTCCTTTACTATTAAAATCCTTATAGTGGAAAATTAAAACTGACCCTTTTTATATTTTGGGTATAACTTGAGAAATTCTTCTTAGTGTTATTTCATAATGAAATAATTACAAAAGCCTATAATAAGCTATCAAGAAAGAGAAAATTATTCAATTTTAGGAAACAGTAAACTTAGTAGAAATCTAAGATAAGAAATATAATTAGAGGAGGATCTAGGATATTGTACATCGAGTATTGAAGGACAGCTTTAAGGAACTAATATCTCACAAGTGCCTACTATATACAGGATATTTTTCAGGTTAATTCACTTAATCATCACAAATACATTGTTAAATATTATTTACTATTTCTATTCCATAAATAAGGAAACAGAAGATAGGAGAAATTAAGTTACTTGCCCAAGATTTCATAGTTATGAATTAATGGTTCTGAGGTTTGAACTGAGGTTAGACTTCAAAGACCAGGTCCTTTCTACTGTACCACATTATCAACTGAACAGCTCAATTGAGAATGAAGTTGACAAACTATAAACATGAATACAAGGTGTAAGTCATTTTTGATATGATGTGGGTTCTAAGCACATTTACTCAGCATGCAAACATTCTTCTCTTTGCCATGGTTATCTGTTTTCTTTCTTTTTAAAAAAAAAAATTAGGGGCAGCACCAGTATTTCAGTGGTAAGGTGTTGGCCACAAACACCCAGGCTGGCAGGTTTGAACCCGGCCTGGGCCAGTTAAACCACAATGACAACTACAACCAAAAAATAGCCAGGCACTGTGGTGGGTGCCTGTAGTTCCAGCTACTTGGGAGGCTGAGGCAAGAGAATTGCTTAAGCCCAAGAGTTTGAGGTTGCTGTAAGCTGTGACGCCATAGCACTCTACCGAGGGCGACATAATGAGACTCTGTCCCCCCCCCCAAAAATTTCAGATTAATATGAGGGCACAAGTGATTAGATTACATTTTGTTTTAAGGTAAAGTTTAAGTTGTAGTTGAGGCAGTTGAACCCTGCATCCGGGGGTATGCTATACATCCAGTTATCCTTTTTCTACTGTTTTCATGTAGCGAGAGCATCTTTTAGCCATTCCCTCACACTATTCATGACTTTACTGAAGGCTATAATAACTTTATATGGCTCCATTCATGTTATAATGAAAACATTATCTCCTCTCCTTACATCATCTCCAAGTACAGAACTCAGTATATTGCCTCTATATAGTAGTCCTGAAAAGCTTAGTCTAAATTTCACTCATGTACAGGTGTCAACGAGTGAAAAGCACAATTGCAATATGAGTCAAGAAACCTGGGCTTAACACATCACTCAATCAGCTGGATGAGTCTAAGAAATACACTCAGCCCATCTCAGCCTTAGTTTCCTTTTCTAGCAAATAAGAATGAGACTTGGGTCCAAGCTACTTTCCAGGCTTGTTGTGAGGATCAGATGATGCAAACGTCTTTGCTAATTTTAAACCAGGGAAGAAGACAGAAAGATGCAAAGGATTTATAGAACGTGTACTATCTGCATGGCTAATTCTCACAATTTCATCTGATAGGAGGAAACTAAAAAAAAAAAAAAAAAAAAAAGACAATTGCTATGACTTAGATTCAAGTTCCTCTGACTTCAAAACAACCAATCCAGATGCATGTTAAGCATGATATCTGGCTCATGTCCATACTAGACTATAAACTTTCTAAGTGCAGGGACTGCAGCCTTGCATTTCCTCAGTGCACTGCTCTCAGTGGGTGCACTATGCACTGTGTTTTTCTGGCAGGCTAAGGACAACAAGACCAGGGATGCTAGGTATCAAGTATTTCTCTGCATCTCCAAAGATGCAGATTTCATGATTTTTCCCAATGTTAGTCACTGGGCAGAAGACCTGCCACTCAAATTTCACCGTGTTAAACAGTGGTAGAGATCAATAAACTTGGAAATATCTTAAGCAATTACTAAATATAATTCTCTTAAAATTGCAAAGTTAAAAGTGACAGGGTCTATGGGTAATAAGAATGCTGCCCACTAATAGGACTTTTCCATCAGTGCTGTTAATAAACAACAAGTCATGTTTTGACAACAGAATATTTATGGAAGCAATAAACAGAACATTTACAGGAAGAATCTCATCTGCCAAAGACACAGTTTCTGCAGAACTGCATCTGTGCACTCTGTACCAAGGCCAGGCTTACTGCCTTTTAATTACATTCTAAAGAAAAAAATGATTAAAAATGAATTTTTACATTTTTCAATAAAGAAAAACATGAGAGTCATCTAAATATTTATATTTTCTTATAGGAACTATATTCAAAACTAGTTATGGGCTCGGTGCCCATACCTCAGTGAGTAGGGCACCAGCCATATACACTGAAGGTGGCAGGTTCAAGCCTGACCTGGGCCTGCTAAACAACAATGACAACTGCAAAAAATAAATAAATAAAAAATGGTCAAGTGTTGTGGCGGGCGCCTGTGGTCCCGAGTACTCGGAGGCTGAGGCAAGAGAATCACTTGAGTCCAAGAGTTTGAGGTTGCTGTGAGCTGTGATGCCATAGCACTCTACCGAGGGCAAAGTAATGAGACTCTATATCAAAAAAACAAAAAACAAAAAACTAGTTATTGTCCTTAAAAGGGTCTTTAATATATTTTTTAAAAAGGTAGGTTCATGCCTGTAATCCTAGCACTCTGGATGGATGAGGCAGGTGAAGTGCCTGAGCTCACGAGTTTGAGATTAGCCTGAGAAAGAGCAAGACTCTGTCTCTAAAAATAGCCAGGCATTGTGGAGGGCACCTGTAGTCCCAGCTACTTGTGAGGCTGAGGCAAGAGAATTGCTTGAGCTCAAGAGTTTGAGGTTGCAGTGAGCCATAATGCCGTGGCACTCTACCAGAGGCACTAAAGTCAAATTCTGTCTCCAATAAATAAATAAATTAATTAATAGGCAAATGGACAACTTTATGATCTTTATATATTCATCTTATTTTTCTCTAAGAGACTAGGGTTCTTCTTAGTTATGTTGTTTTAGTTCATTGAGTGCATTAGATAAATTATGGAAGTACTAGGTCAGATTTTAGTGGCCTATTCCAAACAGCTTAGAATAGTAAATATGGTATGATGGTAAGAGAAACAGTAACGGTACCAGAAGTCTTGAGTAGTAAGAGAATTTAAGAAATAAATGTCACATATAGAACATGTACACTGAACAGCCAGATTGAAATCTAGGTCTGTCATATGACTTTAAAGCATAAATTCTTTTTATTCTTTTATATCACATCCATTTGATTTTAAAGAAGCTGGTGTTTCTCCAGAAACCACTCACTTCTCAAAACATAACTGAAAGTGGAACCAGTTCCCAGAAGGAACAGAGAAACCTTTTTTTCCCGGAGGGACAAATTTCAAGAATGAGCCACCATCACATCCAGGACTCTGCAGTCTGGGGAGCTATAACCCATTAAACAAAATTCCAGAAAGTTCCTCTCTATACCATGTTGTTATAAAAACACTGAGGAAGTGAAAACTTATTGGTAACAAGCATGATAAATGAAGAAAGGCAAGAAAAAGACGAAAGAATAGTGTATTTTTCCAGACAGCTGAAAATCTGTATCCTTTGAAGAGGGGGGAGGGGTACAACTAAATTGAGAATGAACTTGTTTCCCAGATTACAGGAGTACTACACACTTTGGTAACTAACAGACACAACAGCATCAAGTATGACTTCAATACATGGTATGAGGCCTTTACTGAGGATTGGCCACATTTCATCAAATCTAAAATGCCACTGATTATTTAAAAGAACCCATTATTTTACATGCTACTAAGAAAGAAAAAAGTCAGTTAAAATACCATCATCTGTAAGATATACCCTATTTATAGAAGTGTTAAATGTGAAAAATTTTGTTTTGAGAATTACAGTAGTATACTAGACAGATATTAGATCTTCACTAAGTACAAGAGAATGGGTAATGATACTAATCAAGGAAAATATTTAAGAGCTATATGTGTTCACTAACAGTGTTTGAAGACAATTAGATCTTGTGACAGAAAAAAGTTCACAGATAAGCATATTAAATGTTAGAAATTATGGTAGATAGATTATATGTACAAAGTATAGTTACTGAAATGAAAATTTAGTTATTTCAAAGTAGGATTATGCTCATGAACCCTACTAGACTAAGAAACCCCAAATAGATATGACCACAATGAAATCTCTTAAGGGATACTAACAATTATTTATACAGAATAGGAGTGAAGGCTTAGTCATTCAACAGAAGGGGTAAAATATGCTGTAAACAGCCATTAGGTGACGTTTTGAAACTAGAGAAGAAAAAAAAATTCTTAATCTCGAATTTTTAATCTAACAGAAGACTAGCAAATACTAAACTATATTACATTTATGCCTAGGTGTTTGAGAATATTAAGAAAAATAAAAGAGGGGAAAGAAAATGAAAGAAATTAATATTTAGTGAACACTAAAAGACTAAGGATTAGTATTATTTCAGGGTGGCTTTACTAAGAACTTAACAAGAAGTTAAAAACTGAAGAGATCTGGTTGAGCTATAGTATGTCAAATGAGTAAGAAGGGCCTATGTGGTGATTTAGTGAAAGATAATGAAGGGTATCAAGGGGAAGGTAAAATAAATTTCCTTGGCCCAAGTACTGTGTTTCCCCCAAAATAAGACCCACCCAAAAAATAAGCCCTAGCAGGATTTCTATGCATTTGTTAAATATAAGCCCTACCCTATAATAAGACCTAGTGATGGGCGTGGC